ACTTTTCTCTTGCAAAGAGCATCAGTTAAATCAAGCTAGATTGATTTCAATCGGCGGCTTACCAAAATCATGTAGCTGCCACCAGGCCAGTGCAATGGAGCTAAAAATACCACCCCCTGGGCTCTATTGTGGCTGCTGCTATGGTGGGTATGGTCTTACAAGTCCCCAACGAAACCATCAGATTACAAATGCAAACAATTCCCACTCACTGACACAGTTGAGTAAAGCTGTAATTAGAGCAAAAGAAAATGTGACGCATGCTTAAAAAGGTCAGAGATAGCAAAGATAAAATAATTGGTGTAAATCGATGGCGAACAGAAATAAAGGTATTATTAGAGCTGCGGACAACTGGAAAGCCCACGTCTGTTTGACAAACCACCCAGGTTTCCCCTCAAATATCTCACAAAGCCAAAAAATAACTACAATCCAAAGCAGGACTAGTATTTTTGGAAGGAATGTGTATCAACCACCAACTTTCATGCTAAAGTTTTCAACAAAACTGTTGTGCGATCTCTTAGCATTCACATTACGTTATAAAATACTCTCTGCTACTGCACATCAATTGTTTTAGCTCAGTATCTATGAAACTGGCTGTGTATAGCCATTTTTGTGTTGTTAAGGTGATTAGTCATGATGGTCACCTTAAATCAGGTTGACTCCAAAAGTAAATAAGTTGTAGATTTATGTCATAATTTAACAGAACCTTATTTAAAGCCAGGCCTGGTTTTATCTGCACATAACACTTTGGATAATAGGATTATAGGATCTGAACAGTGTGTTAAATGTATTATACTGTTTGCTGCATTAGGGGTGTAGGGGACTTGTACTGTAGAGTGAAAACAATAGACAAAGATCTCTTGACATCTCAAAGCTTCCCACTCTATGAGCCATGTTTCAACCAGGACTAATATTTTCCTATGAGTCATATTGACATGTTTTGTATTGCTCAGACCACGGACAGGTCAACAATCGGTCACAAGGAGCTGCTGTTTATTCTCAGTCATCCAGTACACAATAATCCTTGAATATCAAAGGCCGTTTTGTTTTTCTTTGTCTTCAAGGTGTTTAAAGGTTTTAAACTTTATGATTAAGAACTGAGAATGCTCCTCTTGACGTCTTGATGAGAATCATGACGCCTTCAAGAAAATATTTCAGAAAGTTCAGTTGTCCTTAATGCAGCAGTGGCACAGTTGGTAGAGCTGCCACCTCTCAGGGAGAAGGTTGCCGGATCAAATCCCGCCTATGGGTCTTTCTGGGTGGAGTTTGCATGTTCTCTCCACGCATGAGTGGGCTTTTTCTGGGTTCTCCGATTTCCTCTCACAGTCCAAAAACATGCTTGATAGGCTGACTGGCTACTACCGTATTTTCTGCCATACACGTTGCACCACCCTATAACTCGCATAAGTCCAAATATGTCTAAAAAAGTGTTAAAAAAAAGCATAAATACATTGCTTCGCGTCTACGCCACATCTATTATGTGTCACCGCTGACGCGTCGCGTTTGTTACGCATCACCGCTGACAAATGTGGGCCGGTGTTGTGCCAAAAATCGATTGGATGCCAAATAGTGGCTACGGGAGCGTGCACAGGAGGACATTAACAAGAATTTAGCAAGATTAACACTTTAAAACAGTTGTTTGCTCGAAATTATAGCAAAGGTGTGTCTCAGTCTAACTTTTCCTTAATAAATGCACTTTGACGGTGAAATCAGCTGCATTTCAAAAGCCAATACGCGGAAACAGGAACGCGATGAGGGCGACTCGCTGTGCATTTCTTAGATGTTTAACAAGATAAGCACCTAAAACAATTATTTGTTAGCTCAACATTATAGCAAAGGTGTGTCTCAGTTGAGCTTTTACTTAATAAATGCACTTCAATGGTCAAATTAGCTGCATTTTGCCGGGGCAGCGCAGCAAAATGAAACTGATTTGACGGTTGCTCCCGGCGAACTGGACGAAGCTGGGAGTCTATGGCAAGCCGATTGTGTCATTAATAGGCACTTTTACCTATTACATGACACAACAGCGTGCCATACACCTTGAGTGCCATCTAGCAGCTGAAAATGGTAGTGCTCAATATTTTCAGTCAGAATTAATGAAAACGGTCATATCTCAGCCAAAAATTGTTTCAAAAATATGGGAAATAAAATCCATAAATACGTCGCTTCGGCGTATAAGTCGCAGGTCATGAAAATTATGGAAAAAAAAAACACGACTTAAAGGCCGAAAAATACGGTAATTGTTCCTATGTGTGACTGAGAGTGTGAATGGTTGTTTGTCTTTTTTTGTCTCTGGAGACCTGTCTACGGTGTCCCCCGCCTCTCGCACAGTCACTGCTGGACATGGACACCAGTGATCCCCCCACAACCCGGCAAGAAAGAAGCGAGTAAAGATAATGGATGGAGGTGTCCTTGACTGTTTTTGTTATTCCCATTTAGAATACTACTTCTTGTTGCACTTTTAACTATTACTTTTTGTGTAGTACGAGCGCAGATGGAATAGCTTACTGTCTTATCTTGGCCCGCTCGTTGCACACGCTTACAGTGGAAAATTACATCTATATTTCAAACATTTGTCCTGAAATCCCCCCCCAGCTCTATGACTTAATGTGAAATGACACTTTATGAAGAACTTCTACACATGAATACTCCAATAAGCTCATATAACCTCCGGCAATTTAGCATTTCCAGTTCACTTGTGTTAACCTGTTTGAACCATGGGAAAACATGAAAGACTGACAGGTGTTATATGCAAATACGCACAGAAACTTTAAATCAGCTTGGAGGGGAAACTACAAAATTAATTTCAAGCAGTCTTACAAGCATTCCTCTTTGTAATCAATACGTAAAAGTATCAGTGCATTATTGCCAACCTTTGTGCAGGGATGAATCCATTGTCTTTGACTCAATTAAACTTTTAAGCTCTTTATGTAAATATCTCATAAGATAAAGCAAACCAACCCTGGAGGTTCTTCCATATATTCCCACACACTCGGCATGCAGATAGTAATACATTCATAAAATGCAAATACATTAAATATACATATGCCATCACCTACCACAGTGTGTTTGCAGTTATAGAAGAAACTAGAGAAATCGCATTTTCAGTACTGAGAATTGGATGGCTAAAACTGGGTTGTTAAAGTTGAAACAAGCAGAACAGAGGCTTAAAAGAGCAGAATAGAAGCTAAAATAAGCACAAGCTAAAGTAACAAAACAATATAAAAACTAAAAGCAACAGGGCATTAGCTAAACTGTTTCTAAGGTCGACAAACATGCTAAAATTAACACAAAAAAAAAAGAGTGGGAGGAAGAAAGGATCAGAATGATAGCTAAAAGTGAAATGTCAGATTGGTAGCAACAAGCTAAAAGTGTCAGAACAGTAGCTAAATGTAGCATAAGAAGACAAAGAGCAATGCTTTTAAAATAGTTGATCATGTTGTGCTGCAGTTTAGCCCAAAACTGCTAATGTACTAGTTTGTGCATGTTTGTATGTGTGTGTGGGTGTGTGTGTGTTCATTTACATAACTTCCCAGCCCTATGGAGAGATAACATTCTCTGGAACTTTGATGCTTCTGTTTGGTTAGCGACTACACACACACGCGCACACACTTCTACACAGAGGGTATTGGACGCTGCACAAGATAAAACATGGAAAGTTCACTGGAAGGCAAGGTCACGTTAAATGTTGAACATGAAAACTGGAAAGTTGACTTGCTGAAATGGAACAGCTGGCTCCTCCAGCTGTCTTATTATGTTTCCATGTACTGTTAGTGTTGTTGTTGTTACTGCACACATTACTACAATGTTTTTATACTGATGTCAACACATGACGAAGCATTCTCTGGTATTATCCTCAGAATGTTCCTCGTGTGTTTAAAGTATCATCATTAAATTCTGGGACAAAGGCCAAACACCTATTATCATCTCTGAATGCTGATCAGGTAATAGATAATAAATTTGTTTAATTTCTAAGAATGTATTTTGTAATGGTGGTTGTGGACAATTTCACAATTATTACACTAAATTCTGGTGTGGCTGTTGCTTAGTTTTTCACAACACAAACTCTGAGCTTTGCTAAAAAACTTTTAACGTAGCTGTTGATCAACCCAGTCGTTTGTTAGCAAAATAACTCATAAACCACTTGGATTTTAATCAATCACAAACTGCCACATTGGATATACAGCAAATTTAAATCGGTCGCATTAGTCAACACAAAAATGTTTGCAACCTGGTCTATTTTAAGCTAAAATTTGCTGTGGTAGTAGTAGCTGAGAGTCATTCACAACACTTACTCTGAGCTTATTTTGTGAGATATGTGCATTATGGTATTTTTAAGGTTTGACCAAAAAGAAAAGTTTCCTCAAAATAGTAAAAAAAAAAAAAACAATTTAATATGCTGTCATAGTCATCTTTTATGAATGCAAATACAAAATAGCCTAATGTATTAATTACTAAACTCATTGTTTATTTTAAAGTAATAGTAGTAAGGTGCGTACTTTGTCAGTACTTGCAGTAGTTCTGACATAACCACTACTCTGTTGTTGCTCCTGGTCTGTGTGCTGCACATAACGAGAGGCGGGGAGACGATTGCCGCCACGTGCGCTCAAAAGCCTGCTTTATTATGAAAACTTTCTCCTGATTGGTCCAGACACAAAACACGGTATTTATAGACGACATCTAATTGGCTGCCTCCTCCGAGACGACTAACGCAGCGCGAATCCTTCCAAACAACGGATTCTTGCGCGTCTCGTACTATCAGAAAGTAGTGCTCCACATAAACGGTACATTCGAAGACATTTTCGGTTAAAATTTGAATATGATCACAGATAATGAACACTCGATTGGCGCTGAACGTATATGGGTAATATATTTAGTTAGAAAACCGCGTTTTACGCTTTGCTTAGATAAAAGCGTCGGTTTGTATTGATGGCGGAGGGATACTCATCATCCAGGTGACGCGTCAAAATATTGGCTTGGGAAGACCGCGCCAAAGAAGTACAGACAGCGGCCACTCTTCGGGACAACAACACGTCGCTGTGGCCCTTTAAACACACACAACGGTCGAAACGGTCGCTGTGCGAATTTTTTTTTGTCGTGTTTTCCCTTACGGAGGAGGATCGTTTTTGTCGGGAATACCCACGTCGGCACCCAGGAGTCGGATTTGATGCCGGTTTTCGGGAATCTGTGCGCGACTTCGCGGTCGTGACAGAGGGACTTAGACGGGCGAGGTGCGGCGGAGCTGTGGATACACCGTGTTCCATCGCACCGCCATTACTCGGCTGCGCCTGAACTCACCCTCGTTTTCACCCATTCTGCTTCTTATTTTATCTGTGAAAGCCTCCCACCGGTTGGACTTGGTTCGTGATTTATTTTATTTTTTTTACACATACCGGCTTTTTCAGCTCTAATATGTTGCTGTCAAAGTTTGGTTCTTTTTCGCACATTTGCAACCCCGCGAGCATGGACCACCTGCCAGTGAAGATGCAGCGCCAGCCGGGTAGGTGACCGTTACTGACCGTTTCCCCACCAATTAGTCGGCTACTAACGGTTCAAGCTGACCGGCGAGTGGCGTCTCTCTTTGTCGGTTAAACATCATTCTTGTTTGTTTTACTCGCAGTTAAAGCAGATAAGGAGCCCTTCGAAAAGGTCTACCAGGTGGGCTCGGTGCTGGGCAGCGGGGGATTCGGAACAGTGTACGCCGGCAGCCGGATCTCTGATGGCGCACCGGTAAGGACGACGCACCGCTCTGTGTTGAGATCCCTCCGCCGCACTCTGGGGGTTTATGTCTTCTCTGACAGTATTTCTCCCTCCTTTTTGGGTCATTTCAGGTTGCTGTGAAGCATGTTGCTAAAGAGCGGGTGACGGAGTGGGGCACAATTGTAAGTACCCGATGTGTTTGGTTTGTTTTGGTCCCCCTCCCCGCCCCCCTCTGTGGCTGGGTGGGGGTTAGATGCAAGATTTATGGAAACTAAATGTATCATGTGTAATTATGTAGTTTTGTATGTAATATAGTGACTAAATTTGTAATATAGTGGTAAAATTTGTAATATGATCAACTAAATAGCCCATGTTTTGTTGCAGAATGGAGCAATGGTGCCTCTTGAGATCCTGCTGCTGAAGAAGGTCAGCTCGTCTTTTTGCGGAGTTATCAAATTGCTGGACTATTATGAGCGCGCTGACGGCTGGCTCCTAGTCATGGAGAGGCCGGAGCTCGTCAAGGACCTGTTCGACTTCATCACAGAGAAGGGGGCCCTGGATGAGGACACTGCCCGGGGCTTTTTCCTCCAGGTTTTGGAGGCGGTGCGGCACTGCTACAGCTGCGGTGTGGTGCACAGAGACATCAAGGATGAAAACCTGCTAGTGGATCTGCGCACTGGGGAGCTCAAGCTTATTGATTTTGGCTCAGGGGCGATTCTCAAGGACACGGTCTACACTGATTTTGATGGTAAGCAGTCGTTCCCCCCCCCCCTCCTCTGACCCTCCCAATTACATGAGCTGATGTTATGAGATGTCTCCACGCAGGAATGTGAAGTGAATTTATATTTTCTGAATATGTAACGGTGTGGGCTGTTTGCCCTTGATGCTCCGCTGTGCTATATTCAGACATGGAGGCGTTCTCGAGGCTGTGACGAAGCGATCTGTTTTTGGTGGAGGGTTTTCCTCCAAGAGCCTCACACGGGTTATAAAACAAGAAAACAGTAGAGGATAGCAAACAGACATGACTCAGATTATTACATCCGGTTTTGTTTTTGTTTTTTTTTTATAAGTGACTCATTCTCATCTCGTGAGTTTGATCTGTGCCTTCATGTTTCCGGTCGTACCATGAGTCACTGCATCGGGTCAGAGCCACCGAACATCTGTTTGTTGTGAAACCAGAGTCCATGCCTCATGTGACACCCTTTTAGGGCTTGATATCTTGAGTTCCTCCTTCTAAAGGGGGGGGGGGGGGTGAAGATGGAAAGCATTTCTACTGTGACTCAGCCTTTTGTTTT